GTCAACTCCCCCATCTATCGCCTTCAGTGTGATAAGCATCGACACAACAGGGAAAGGGTGCCAAGTTCTTTGGCTTCAGGATAGTCGAAAATGGTGAACGCGTGTCTCATGCACGGTACTGCGTTCAGCCAAGCGCCGGGACCGTATGAACATTCTGCACACCACGGAAAACGCCCACGCTCCATAGATATGTAGACAGCCGGCGTCCCGGGAGACCGCATCCCGTACCAAAGATACAAGAAGTAATTTCATGTAATTTCATAGAAGTTAGGCAAAACATTGCTGTTTCGTGGAGCCATCACGTTCCGCTTGCTTGCACAAGCTGCACCGCGAGTCCTCTCCAGGTTGCGATGCTATCCGCATGGCCTCCCGCCCTTTCGGACCTACAGCAAAAGTGCAAGCTTTCAATTCATCAGCAAGCAGGCTAAGCAAGGCAGACGGACGTGGCCGTGTACCACCACGTACGCACAGACAAATGACGCCAATATCCTCTCTTTTTCGGGTGTCGCCGCGTGTACGGCGTTATCAAGCTCACGAGATCTCGTCGAGAGCGTCTTGCGCAGAAGATGGGGGAGTAAAGATTAATTAAATTGACCAGTTTAAGGTTAAGCGAGTGAGAGACGTGGGCGAGGCAAGAACGTCACGCGCCTTGTCCATCACACCTACAAGTACCTTTTTCACGTAGGAGCAAGTAGTGCCCCATGGTGTTCTGCCCAGCACCCCCAAAATAGTCCCCCTACATACATACTCGGTGGTACGAGATACGATCCTCAAGGACTTTCAACAAAAAAATCGCCAGGAAAAACGGCAATAAATCACTATCATCATCGTTCAAACCCTCACATGCAACACATATTTTACGTTCTGCACGAACCATATCCAATTCCGAAATCTATCGAACAACGCAGACTAGACTATATGCTGCTACCGTGGCGCGCGTCATCATGTCACATGAGAACAGGTACAAAAATCAAGCGAAGGGAGGAATTGACTATGGGCACATCCTTGATGAGCAGAAAAAGCGGCATTCTTGCTCCCTCCCGCGTTTTTCCCTCTCGAATAGAACCTCTTTCCCGTTCTTGTCCCCGCCACGGACAGTGATATTGAGCCCAAAAGGCCGTGTTTCAAATGGCATCCCACCCCTCCCTCCCCCCCCTGCACGAGCAGAACACCCATTCGTGTTCTGGCGGCGAGCAGTCTTGAGCATGAAATATATACAGACGACGAAAAAGGACTAAAAAGAGAGAGTTGAAGATCAAGAAGTAGGCCGCCTCGCTCGCTGATACCTCGGTGATACCCGAAATCGTCGGAAAGGGCGGCGATGTTCTTCGTCGAATTGGAGGTGGAGCTTTCGTGGGCGATGATCATCTGACAAGTGTTAAGGAGTGTTGCTGTATGGCACAGATAGGGTACACAGTCGGTCTAGATTAAGATGGGGGACGTCAGGAGGTATACCCTCTTAGGACGTACCCCATCGGGACTTAGCTATCTGCGTGCCCCCAGGTTGAGGGCAATCCGCCTCACCTCAGACCTGTAGCAGACCCGCTTCTGCAATAACAAGCAACCTTCCCATCTCAACGTGCTCGTGGACAAGGGTGTCTACGGCAGAATCTACATCTACTACATCTAGGAGGCAAGCCACCGTCGGGCGGGCATTCCTTTAAACTATGGCGTCAGCTGGATACTGGTTCGAATCTCCTTGGGTGCACACTTTTTCTCCTGACTTGGATATTTTCCCAAGGACACAATGTGTGTCAGTCCTGAGAACACCTGTTGGAGTCGATCCTACAAAGAACCTTGTGACACTTCCATCGAATTACCCATCCTGGCCACAAGAGGTTCCCAGTTGAGGGTAAATTCTGTGGGTGGAGAGTGTTAAGGAGGACCCGATTCGCAGGGTATCTGTCGATTGACTTTTACCTGAATCGGTACACCTTCGCACAAGCAAGTATGTGAGGGCGGGGTTGGGGGGGGGTGGAGGGAGGGCTAAGTCAAGGCGAGAGTCGATGATCGATCAATGCTTGCTGTGTAGGTGGGGCGTTCTTGGCCCTCGAGAGGTGTAGCAGAAGAAGGATAAGGTTTATGTTTTTAACATTAGCGTCAACCGCGCTAACCCTCCGACCAATGAAAGGACCTTAGTCTCTGTGAAAAACAAGACGCCTCTATAGGCCATGATCTGGGACCCCGTGAGGGGGCACCATGGGGAAGGCTAAGGTATTCTCCGGATTTAAGACAGAAGCGTGTCTACCAAGGCTGCTACTTTGCACACGCGGTCGTTTCAGAGGTGTGTTTGTGTGTGCCTGAAATATTGGTATCGACCGCGCTAACCGCTGGCCAGTTTGTGTGTGTTCATGTGCGTGCGTGATTTCTTCAAGTAACGTTGACCGCGCTGACCGGCTGACCAATGAAAAGGAGAGTCATCAGTCTGCTAGCGGGATAAAAGAGCGAACACCCTACCTTTCTTGACAACAGTCATAGGCTCCCCCCGCGGTTGGACCACGGGGGGGGAAGTTGGACGACAGGAAACCCTCCGGGTTCAAAATATTTGCAAGTTGAGGTGTGTGTAAATGATTTCTTGCTACATCTGTTGTGGGCACCACAAGATGCATGTCATGTATGATCATGCCCCCTACACCAACTGTGAATAATGCCATGCGTGGCGATCGAGATGAATCCCGTATTGCCGTACCAGTACTCACAGAGTACTGCGGTCTTCGCGTGCTTCGTCGATCTCACCAAGGCGTACGATTCGGTGGACCGAGATCTGCTGTGGGACGTGCTCGGACGCTTTGGCGTGCCCCCGAAGATGCTGGCGGTCATTCGCCACTTCCACGAGGGCATGAGGGCGCGGGTTCGAACGGACGACGGGCAGTACTCGGAATGGTTTGACGTCGGCCAAGGTCTCCGA